TGATAAGTCAGAAAGATATCATATAAAATATGACACAAAATTATCTATGAAACAGAAACAAACTCACAGACATAGAGAACAGATCTGTGGTTGCCGTGAGGGAGTAGGGGAGGGTTGGATTGGGAATTTGTAACTAGCACGTAATATGTAGGCTGGATAAACAACAAGATCCTATTGCATCGCATAGGGAACTGTATTCAATATCTAGTAATAAACCATAATGGAAAAAAATACAATCTGAGAAAATGAGAAAAAAAGAAAAAACCATGCATTTGGAAAGATGTAGTGATAAAAGATGCACCACTCCCAGGAAGGAATCTGCTTAAGACTGCATTCTATGAAAGGTGTTGTATTTCTGATCTGCTTATTCTCAGTACCAGATCTTTTTGATTAATTTATTTTTGGCTGTGTTGGGTCTTGGTCACTGTGTGGGCTTTTCTCTGGTTTTGGCAAGTGGGGCCTCGTCTCTAGTTGTGGTGTGCAGGCTTCTCATTGTGGTGGGTGGCTTCTCTTGCTGTGGGTCGTGGGGTCTTGGCAAGCAGGCTTGGCAGTTGTGGCGCGGGCTCAGTAGTTGCGGCACGTGGGCTCAAGAGTTGCGGCACACTGGCTCGGGGGTTGTGGTCCCTGACCTCAGTAGTTGCCATTTCTGGGCTCAGGAGTTGCGCATGCGCACGCAGGAGTTGTGGTTCCAGGGGTCATTAGTTGCAGTTCCCGGGCTCAGTAGTTGCGGCCCGTGGGCTCAGGAGTTGTGGTTCCTGGGCTCTGGAGCACATGCTCAAGTGTTGTGGTCCAGGGCACAGGGGCTTGGTTGCTCAGCGGCATGCGGGAAATCCTGGATCAGGGATTGAACCTGTGTCTCCCACATTGGTGGGCAGATTCTTTACCGCTGAGCCCTCTAGGTACCAGATCTTATAAAAATTATTAATCGGTTCTATCTGTAACAGTACCTGAGGATTCTTAAAATTTGGATTTTACAAAATCAATTTTGTAATAATAACATATAATAATAAATAATAAATAAATAAATAATAAAAATGATGATGACTAAACCCATCCGGTGGACTTGGGTTTAGTCTCTGACTGCCATTGCTTATGGGCTTCCCAGGAGGCACTAGTGATCTGCCTGCCAATGCAGGAGACCCAAGAGACATGAGTCCAATCCTTGGATGGGGAAGGTCCCCTGGTGTAGGATATGGCACCACCCTCCCGTATTCTTGCCCAGAAAGTTCCATGGGCAGAGGAACCTGGAGGGCTACAGTCCACGGGGCTGCAAAGAGTCAGATACAACTGAACACGTGCGTGTTCATACACACGCACACAGTTGCTTCCATTGTTACCATAAGTGACAGGGCTTGTCAAACTGCTTTCCAAAGAGCTTTACCCTCCTTCTATATGTTTTGCAAATACTCTGTGAAAAATGCTTACTGCGGGAAATGGCTTCTTTTTCTTTGGGGCTGCATCTCTGTTTTCTTTGGGCATCCTGCTCAGCTGCCTCAGTATTCTGTTTTGATGAAAAGGAGAGCTTAAGAGTGTTGACGAGATAAGTAACTTACACATTGATTCCAAACTGAAACTACTACATTGCCTATGAACACACACTTAGTGTATGTGAGTTGGGTGGGACTAATCTACTCATCTTCAGAAGTGGGGCCTGTGATACAGGCCTGCCCCCTCAGGGCTTTTCTTGGGACTTTTGCTGGAACCATCAGTGGAGAGGAGTTCTCATTATTAGGATTCCTAGCTTTAGAGATCCTGGTGGTCATCTCTGCTATCTCATAAAGAAAGGTTATTGGAAAACAAAGGTAGTATAGAGGAAAGCAGTAGTTAAAGGACAAGGAAAAGATTTCTAATTACATTTTAACCCTTTCACCCATTTCTGAAGCTGAACTGTCCCAGTTATGTGATCCAGTGACTCTTCATCCCACCTTTTATAATCATGTTTTGCTCCTCTATAAATAATTGCATCTAAATTACTGATCTAGCTGTGTTATATTCTGTATAAAACTTTCAAGTACTTCTCTAGCAAGGATTTTACTATTACATGTTAATGCCTAAATACTTCACGATCATTGTTGTGTACCACATAATACACCTATGGAATATGAAACAAAGAAATGAATTAACATTTAATACTTATAAATATGGGCTTCCCATGTGACGCTAAAGAACCTGCCTACCAATGCAGGAGATATAAGAGATACCAGTTCGATCCCTGGGTTGGAAAGTTCCCCTGGAGGAAGGCATGGCACCCCACTCCAGCATTCTTACCTGGAGAATCCCATGGACAGAGGAGCCTGATGGGTTATAGTCCACGGGGTTGCAGAGTTGGACACAACTGAAGCATGCATTCATGTATGCACTCATAAATCTGTCCTATTATATGTGGCCATCTTTATGATAGGGACTTCCCTGGTGGCTCAGAGGGTAAAGCGTCTGCCTTCAATGCAGGAGACCTGGGTTCGATCCCTGGGTGGGGAAGATCCTCTGGAGAAGGAAATGGCAACCCACTCCAGTATTCTTGCCTGGAAAACCCCATGGATGGAGAAGCCTGGTGGGCTACAGTCCATGGAGCCACAAAGAGTCGGACATGACTGAGTGACTTCACTTTAACTTTATGATAATCTGAAAAGTGTAAACAGCAGTTCCAAAACAGTCACCTAGTCAAAAAAACAAAACAAAACAAAACTCAAATAACAAATGAGTAAATAAGTGATTGCAGATGGAAAGAAAACATATCTGGTAAGACAGGCATTCTCTGATTGAATGCTTTCTCATTAGAAATAACCAGTCTATTACAGGGCTCAGTCCTTTTCTCTGAAACCCAGGAGTCAGAAAGTTTTAAAGCCAGAATTCCTCAGCTCCTGTAAGCTCCATTTTTTTGATCGTCATTTGGATTCTGCTGTGTTTGACGCTTTCCTCAAACATTTGTTAATGCTTATGTATCTGTTCATATTTGCATGTGAAGCACTTAAAAGCTAATCAGAAGCACGTACCAGTAACACTACTGCCACCTTGTATCAGCTTGAGGGACTTTGTTGAAGGTTTCTTTTTTTTTTAAGAGCCCAAATTTCCAGTGTCTGTCTTTTTATCCCAGGAAGGAAGAACTCCCTTCCCTGCCCGGCAACTCCAGCTTCAACTCCCCGGGGAGTGTTCTGGACATTGACAGGGGGAGACTACAGGTATCATGGTTCAGCATGACTGGGCAGTGGTAGGGAGGGTCTTGGTGGCCTAACTGTTCTTTACACAAAAATTTTAAGTTATGCTTGTCCATTTGTTTGTGGGATAAAATATACATAAAATTTACCATTTTAAATAGTTTTAAGTATACAATTTAGTGGCATTAAGTACATTCATAATGTTGTGAAACCATCACCGTTATCGATACCTAAAACTTTTTCATCATCCCCAACAAAAATTCTGTACCCATTCTCAGTAACACTCACTTCCCCCTTCCTCTCAGTCCCTGGTAACCTAGATTCTATTGTCTATGAATTTACCTATTTCAGGTACTTCATATAGGTAGAATCATATATTTTTCCATTTGTGTTGTTTGTATCTTTTTATTTTTCAAATTAACTCAGGTTAAGTAAGTGGTCCAAGGCCAAATGCTCCAAGTGGAAACAAGGCCACAGAAATCTAGGTATGTCTGTCAAGAGATTATAGTCCTTACTGTGCCATTACTACCTTGTCTATACATATACATACGCAGGAGGTATTTTGTACTTGCCATTAAATCCAGAATGTTTTTTCATCCCATTAGGAGTTCTCTGAAACATTTTAATGCTTTCTAATAATCATTTTGTATATATGTTTTGAATTTTAAATAATACATACCTTTGTACATAAATATTTGTATTTCTGACTGGAACCCTAGGATAAAATGTGATGTTTTTGGTTCAAACAGTAGAACTAAATAGTTGATACTTGTTAAATTACCCTTTAGAAATTAGCCAGTATATAAATATTCTTATGACATCTTCATCACCACTAATTTTTTAGTTAGGTAAAAACTAATGTTCTACTGTTTGTAATAGCTATTTTGATAAAATACTTTACTATTTAAATTTTCTATATATTGTTTCTGTCACTAGTCTAGCATTCAGTCGTTTTGTCTGGTTTCCTCACTAAGATCTAGAATATGTTTTGCTGGAGAGGCATTAACACTTGCTTTTATAGTTTTCAAAGTGGAAATGTTTTTATTGCTTTTAGTAACTAAAAACTAATCAATAGATATTCTTTTTAAAAGCACTCAATGGTAGAGAAATACGGCTTCCCTGATGGCTCAGTCGGTGAAAAGTCTGCCTGTTACGTGGGAGACCTGGATTTGATCCCTGGGTTGAGAAGATGGAAATGGCAACCCACTCCAGGATTCTTACCTGGAGAACTCCATGGACGGAGTAGCCTGGTGGGCTACAGTCCATGGGGTCACAAAGAGTCGAACACAATTGAGTGACTAACTGCAATAGTAGAGAAATAGAGAAAATAGAAAATTAAAGGCTTCATTCATAATGCCATTCCCATATAACTATCTGCAAAGGGTATGGGAAGATTTAGTCATAAATACAAAGATAAAACATGAAAAAAATAAGACAGCTATTGACTCTAGGAAAAATGTAATCACAGGATATTCATTAGCTCTGAAGTGAACAGTATTTCAAGATCATAAAATAAAAGCAGTAAGATATGGATTTAACCAAAATTTTAAGTCATATTGTGAAAGTGGAGGAGGGCAGAGGGGAGTATAGCTTGAAAAGTCCTCCTTCATTCCTTTATGGATTAAGTGGCAGAAATATATATATTTTATTTAGCAAGATGTATGTACACGTGAAAAGAAATAAAGAAGCTGGCTGGCTGCTTCTGGGGAATGGAACGTGACGCCAAAGACAGGACAAATTACTGCTGCTTGGCTACAAGCTTCTGAGAGCTACTTTATATTTTATGGGTGACTGCAATGTATCCAGATGGGGATAAAGCTAAAAGAAGTAAGAGAACAGAATACCTACATTTAAAAATAAAGGTCTCTTGAGAAAACTTTATTAACATGAATAACAATAAATCACGCCAAACTTTCCACAGTCTTTATGAAGTTTTTGTTTTAAAGATGAAATTTATTTCATGAATAAACTTTTATAATGAATAAACTTTTATAATGAACTTCTCAAATCTTTTTACTATCTACCTTTCTGGCTCAGCTGGTAAAGAATACGCCTGCAATGCAGGAGACCTGGGCTCGATCCCTGGGTTGGGAAGATCCCCTGGAGAAGGGAAAAGCTACCCACTCCAGTATTTCTGGCCTGGAGAATTCCATGAGCTGTATAGTCCACGGGGTCACAAAGAGTCGGACACAACTGAGCGACTTTCACTTTCTTCTTGGGATAGCATTGTTATGATAGTATTACATTTTCTTTTTTATTCAAATGAACTATTTTAAAGATTAATGATTATTAGCAAATCTTGATGCAAGATAAATATGATACTATAAAATTACCATTTCCTATCAACTATCTAAAGTAAAAAAGTATTTGGTACTAAGTGTTCTTATGTTCAAATTCTAAAAGTAATTTTTAATCCCAAGGGAACTTGGTACTCCAAGACTTAAAAAATTTTTTTAATGATATTTACATAATATATATATTTTTAATCACTAAGTTCCTCCTCATCACTGAAGTATGTGCTTTTCTTTATCCTTGGGCGTCTTGAATCATCTGATGTTGAAGGACCTCCTGAACTGGGTTTCCATTTTTTTTGTTCTTCTTCAATTTTGGCTTGCTGTAAAGGTTATTTGGAAAACCAACAAAACAAAAATCAGGAATCTGCTTAATATTTAATAATATTAAAATAATATTATTTCTCCTACCCCCAAGTTTTCTCCCAGTCTTACCATGTTACTCAGAATTAACCTGGGCAATTTCTATTAACAGGCATATGAAATGAAGCTTACTTGCCATTGCTGTTGGATGTGGGTACATTACATAAAATACTGAATTAATTAACTAAAAGGAAAAATGAATTGATGTATGCATTTATAATTTATAAATTACATTAAAAGAAAATAACAAGTTATACAAAATCATGAAGTTATACATTTTCTTCAAAAAATGTTTCATATACTTGTATTAGGACCTTTAATGATCAAAAATGTTTTTGGTTTTATTTTAAAATGAAGCTTCTTTTAAAACAATATCTTTGATTTAATAAAATCTTTTCTGTTGGGGGCTAAACTCATTTTAACCAAATAGTTCTATTCAGTTCTATACTGAAAACAGATTATGATATTAAAAGTGTTGTGGGGCCCTTAAAATCTATAAAGAACCAATAGGAACTTTTCCATCACACTATTCTAAAGATCTTAAAGAAAGAGCCTATCTCTTAAAGTTTAGGGGCAAAGGGGAAAGACAGAGGATGTCATGAGGAGATGATTAATAAAGCAAGCAAGGAATATAAAACTATTAACTCAAGGGAGCTATGGTAGGTGCCTTTGAAAAAGAACTACTGAATACCTGGAAAGCTATAGCCTGACTGAGGCTGTCAAGAGCAGGATCTTCCCCTTCATCTTCACTTTCTTCTACTTCTTCACTAAATTATTAAAAAAATCAAAATGCAGTCAATAGTAAAAAGACAGAAGTGAATACACTTAATGTATTTGGTAAGAGTGGATATACATACATTTCTTCTTCTGGCTCAGGAGTTTTCTTTTTTTTCTTTTTCTCTTTCTTCTTTGGAGGTTCACGTTCTCCAAGCATATTTTTAGGACAGGCATAACTTAAGTGTCCACTTTCCTTTTGTTTTCCGTTAAGAAGGAAAGGAAGAAATAGTGCATTTATGTTAGTAACACAAAATAAGAAAAGATATACATTATGTATTATTAACAGAAACTTGGTGGTTCCTTAGGATTAAAATATTTTAGAACTTAAGAAAGAATATTGTTGCACAGGGAATATACACAAAGAAATTAAAACCCATTACTTTAATGTTTAAATGGAAGAGATTATGATATTATAACTCCTAATAAAGAAGTATTTAAATCTTTTTCCTAAGAGTAAAAGAAGTGTTCTTCCCTCAAACATTTTTAAATGTCAAGATTCAGGATATAAAAATTCAAAATTTAAATGGACCATCTACCTTAAATGTAAAAATTTTTAGTATGATAAAATGGGGACAAAACTACTCCTAACTTCAATGATGTTAGCAATCTCTTTTAAAAACAAATGGAAAATTTAAAGTCTTCCTCACTTTTCCTCTCAATTAATTTCATTTTGTTTAGTTCATATCTAGACTACACTAGCATTGCCCACTTATGGTAGCCATTTGTTATAATTCTCTTGTGGTTATTGAGAATTGGTTTATTTGAACTGATACACACTGGATTGTGAATCAGTTGTTTGAATTGGTACATACTGGATTGTGAAGACAGCAGGAAAAAATAATATAAAATATTATACTTTAAAAATATCAATTACATAATTCAAATGATAATATTTTGAATTAAATAAAATATATTTAACTTTTACCCTGTTTATTGTTTTTTTAATGTGGCTATTAGAACATTTAAAATTATACTTGTAGCTTGCATATATTTGTATTTGACAGTGCTGGACTAGCTGTAACATTAAAATGAGACATAACATTGTCTGAGTTGTAAAAGAAGACAATGAATCTGTATATTAGCTTACCAAAATAACTTTAAGAAGATTTATGTGAGAATGAGGGTGTGGGGAGAGACTGAGCCAGAATTAAAACAGCAGAAGAGAAAATTAATCATGCTTTTCAAGTATATTTTATAAAGCATCAAACCAACTGTGTACTTTTTATACCTGGGGACATGGCTGAACCCAAAAGGTGTTATTATTTAATAAGGCACTGCTGAGAGAATGCACTTAGAGAACCATTTTGCAAAGTGTTCTGGAATAATGATATATCAAAAACTGTTAACATATCCCATACAAAAAAGGGTTTAACAATGCAACAGCTTTGAGAAAAAAAGGCTAAAATAAACAGATTTGGGGTGAGGAAGAGTTTTAAGAAATACTAAAATGTACAAAGTACAACATAACACATTTATGGACCCATAAACCAAGAGAGATTAACAGATTTATCCAGAAGTTCTCAAATAATATCTACTGTGAATATAGTCATCTATCTGATCATAGTAACTCCACCCTCTCTTCGTTTTTTTTTTTAAACAAAACTTAGGAGTCTGGAACACAGTTTTTGAAACATTAACTTAGGTGTTAGAATCACAAAATTTGACAGAACTTACCCAAGACCTTGCTTGTTCTCTCTTTTCATCTATCCATCCATCTATCCACTTACTTACCTGTCTGTGTATGTAAATATTTTTGAGGGGGAGTGAGTGGCATTGGAGAAAGAACTCCAAAAACCATTTCCTTCTATTTTCCATATAATCCTATAGCCAGAACAGTGTCTCTCAGTAATTTTCCCTTCAGTAAAAGCTCCCCATTAATCTCGGGATCATATACATGGAGACATTTTAGAAACAATTTTAGAGACAGAAAGCAATGAGACCCAGACTGAAGTTCCCCTGATATCATTACGGGCCTTGTGCAAAACTGCTCTGCGGCTTATGTATGTCTCCAATCACCCAAAGTTTAAATGGATAACAGTGCTAATAGATGGTGAGAACTAGGTAAGAAAATCTGGGTATAATTCAGCTCCTGAACTATAGCAGTACCAACAGGTGGGAAAACTTTTCAAAACAATATCCCACAGAGGATAGGTCATATGACAGTGTTTTTGCTGATCTGTGATACTTAATCATTGTCAAAATACTATAGAAATGCAAAAACTTATGGGTCACTAAAATCTTTCAGACAATAATATAGGTAATTAGTCTTAACACTTTTTAATCTAACAACTTCGAAAGATTTAGAAACTGGAGAAAATACCACTATAGATTACCCAACTCAGATTGTCTTTACCTCATACTATCAACTATTCATACATCAACTGAATTTACTTATATGAGTCTACATTCCCAAAGTGAAACTTTATAACTCGATTTTAGCCATCCAGGAGTTCTGGAGAACACAAATAAAACATCGATGTGAAAAACACCTTCAAGTAAATAATGGAAAATTATATTGCTTTAGGTATACTCACCCCACATTCATAACACTTAGATTTATCAAAATAGTTTCGTCTTCGGATGAACTCAGCTGCTCTTCCATTGTCAATAGCAATGCTTGCTTTTATCACTCTACCAAATAACTGGACCAGAGAAAAATGTAAATGCAGAAGGATGTTATCTCATTGAAACCTACAACTACAGTTATCAGATTTCATTTCCTCAAGTTTTCAATTCTATTTTTTTTTTTTATATTATTTTAGCAAATGCCCAGGTAGGCGTGGCAAATTCTTTCCTGTAGAATAGATTTTTATTCCTTATATTCTACCAGTGTTTTGGGAACCCAGTACAGTTTTGACCTCTTTTCTATAAGTAAAATACCCTCAGGACCTACTGATATCCATCAGACTCTATCACCCACTGCATCCCCACATTTTTAGCCTGGTTTGAACACAGACTTTTGGTTAAAAACCTTCCTGGGACATGGAAGCAACCTAGATGCCCATCAGCAGATGAATGGATAAGGAAGCTGTGGTACATATACACCATGGATTATTACTCAGCCATTAAAAAGAATTCATTTGAATCAGTTCTAATGAGATGGATGAAACTGGAGCCCATTATACAGAGTGAAGTAAGCCAGAAAGATAAAGACCATTACAGTATACTAACACATATATATGGAATTTAGAAAGATGGTAANATACTAACACATATATATGGAATTTAGAAAGATGGTAATGATAACCCTATATGCAAAACAGAAAAAGAGACACAGATGTACAGAACAGACTTTTGGACTCTGTGGGAGAAGGCGAGGGTGGGATGTTTCGAAAGAACAGCATGTATATTATCTATAGTGAAACAGATCACCAGCCTAGGTGGGATGCATGAGACAAGTGCTCGGGCCTGGTACACTGGGAAGACCCAGAGGAATCGGGGGGAGAGGGAGGTGGGAGGTGGGATCGGGAATACATGTAACTCTATGGCTGATTTATGTCAATGTATGACAAAACCCACTGCAATGTTGTGAAGTAATTAGCCTCCAACTAATAAAAATAAATGGAGAAAAAAAAAGAAAAAAAAAGTACAGTGGGACCCCTACCTCTTATCATATGTAAAAATCAACTCAAAGTGAGTCAATGGCCTAAAACAAGAGTAAACTATTAAAGTCTTAGAAGAAAACATAGGAGTAAATCTTCACTTCAAAGGAATGATCTTGGATTTGGCAATGGATTCTTAGATATGACACCAAAGCACAGGAGACAAAAGAAAACATAGATAAAATGACTTTGTATAGTATATACATACAACAGAATGTTATTCAACCATGAAAAAAGAATTAAATACTGATACATGCTACAGCATGGACAAACCTGGAAAGCATTATACTAAATGAAAGAACCCAGATATGAAAGGTCATATATTGTATGACTGTATTTATATCAAATATCCATAGTAAATAAATCCATAGAGACAGAAAGCAAGTTGATAGTCATCAGAAACTGGGGGAGGGGAAAATGGGAGTGACTGCTTTATGGGTACAGGGTTTTCTTTTGGGTGGTGAAAGTATTTTAGAACTAGATAGAGGGGGTAGTTGTACAACATTATGAATGTACTAAACACCACTGAATTGCACATTTTAGAATGGTTCCTTTTATGATATGTGAATTTCACCATTAAAAAAAGTAAAATGGGGAAGGAATATGATAGCTGCTTACAAATGAGAAAGGCTATTATACAAAGAGATTTTTTTCTGGGTATTTCCATAGAGCAAAACTGGGGGAAGTTACAGGACAACTTTGACATAACACGGAAGAACTTTCCAACAATAGTGTTGTTAAACAGTGGAATGGGCAGCCTCCCAAGGAAGTTAAATTAAGCTTTACTGAAAGTGTTCAAGTTAGATGAGCTCTCAGGGAAGTTATAGAGAAGATTCTTACTTGAGGTGTGACTAAAGCTTTTTTAGTTTAATTATTTTCAAGACCTATCTGCTATCTTCCCTCCACATCTGCAACTAGGTTGATTCAGTTTGACCGTAAGCAATTTGCAAATGAACTCCCTGAGTTCAAGTATTCCTTCCCTGGAGTTTCAGTTTTAGTGCAGCCCAACCCTCTCAATCTAAGTGAAAAAAGTGCCACACACACAGAAAGAGGAAATGATCAATGAGAGTAAACTTTCAGTAGCTGAGACACCGAATCTCTGAACTCTCAATTCAGAGGTGGAGCCATTGCAGCTTCCTGCTGGTAGCTGGGGGAATTTGTATATTCACTCATCAAATATACTAGTTAAGCACTTTTTAAGAGACCCTCTGCTAAGAGTAAATGGTAAAGGTTAAACCCTCAATTAATAATGAGTAGTGATAAGCAACTAGGATGATGATCACATTTGCAAACTATGAAGATTTCCCAAACTTCCCTCGTAACATACCCTGCTACCAAAACTTCATGAGATAATAGAGGGCAAAGCATGCTCACCTGGGTTCCTCACTTGCCAAATTCCAAACAATAAGAGGTGCAGTAACACGAAAGTGACTTAGATAATTCCTAGACTGGATGATGATACACACGAATTCATTTAAATTGCATTGTTTGAACAGGGAAATTGGAATTCAACACCTGCTCCTGAGGCAAGAGCCCTGGGACCGCTGCAGGGGGCGAAAACCTAGGCGGGAAGAACTCTTTTGGGAGAGACAAGCCTTCTCCCTCGGACTCGGTTGTTCCGGGCTAGTTCAGGAGGATCCCGGGGATGCCGCATTCTTTAGAGGAATTCAGCCTCCTCAGGCGCTCTGGGGGAAGCCCAGACCAACCGCCCCCAGCCCACCCAGCACTAAAGCACGAGGCGCCTCTGAGGATTGCGCAAAAGCCTCTCCCTCCTCCGCCTGCTCGGTGGCATGTTCCTAAAATTCCCATCTGCACAACATAAACAGGAAACGTGCAGCAAAAGCCCTGGCGGTGCAAATTCCAGGCTTCCAGTCGAGGGCGGGAGAATCTTGTCTTGGGAAGGCGGGTGACAGGGTGGAGGGGCCGTTGAAGGGGCGGGGGGAGGGGAAGCAGCAAAGTTTCCAGGAGACCCCCTCATCTATCCCTATCTCTTCTTCCCAGACCCAGAAAGAAAGAGTGGAGAGGACGGAAGGAAGGACACTCTGCTTTAGGAAAAACAGGGGAGCGGGAGGTGGGCCGCGGAGGGGCAGCCAGGCCTCAAAGTGAAGCACCCCGAGAGGCTGCTGTGACAACGCGCGGTAGGAACACACTGGGCAGCCTTCTCCCAAGATCGGCTGTCCGAGCGGCCCCGGGAGGGTGGGGTGGGCTCTCCGCCGGGTCTTGGGTCACGGAGCCAGCGCGGGTGGGGGCGGGGAAGCAGCGGGCGCTAAGAGCGGCGCAGGCGCAGAGCGCGCTTCGGTTGTCAAACATGGCTGAAGTGCCGCCGCTGCCGCTACTGCTGCTGCAGGGAAAATGCTGAGCCCTCCCGGGCCCGGTGGGCGGCGGCGGCGAGGGCGGCGACGGGCACCTGCTTCTCGGGCGCGGCGGCGGAGGCCATGGCCAGGCTGGCCGACTACTTCATCGTAGTCGGCTACGACCACGAGAAGCCAGGTAAGGGTGTGGGGCGGGCGCCGCCCCCGGGCCTCCCTGCCCCCGCCCCCCGGCTGCCGTCCAGTGGGCTCCTCTGGGCTGGGCATCGCGGCCGGGAGGCGTGGAGGGCCGGTCCCGGCGCCGGTGGAGCTGGCACTCGGCGTCGGGCCTTGATGGCCCGCCGAGCCTCGCGGTGGGCGTGAGGGGCCAGCACGAGGGGCGAGGGAGGAGGAGGAGGAGGAGGCGGCAGCGGCCTCGTTCTCCGGGCCCCGGGCGGCCCAGCTGCGGCGAGTCTGGGTGCCGTGGCGCTCGCTCTGAAGAGGGCTGGGTACCAGGGGCATCGCCCGGGTGCCGGCGGGCTTGGGTCAGGACTTCAGGGCTGGGAGGGCGGGAGCCAACTGTGCTATGTTCCTCGGGGATAAACTTCTGCCCAGCATCCTGAGTGAGTAACGAATGACGCAGGGGGCTGTCCTCTCCTAAAGGAAGTGCTGAGAGTCCAGTGCTACCTCACCCCTGAGCTGGTGGGGGCCCGTCTAGTCACCGCGCCCGTGGACACATGGTACCGAGAAGAGGGCAAATGATGGCAAATGATCCTTGAACTTATGAACATTTCTAGGAAATGCTCCTTGTTCTTTCAGGACAAATCTGACGGTCATTTCAAAAGGAGTCTGAATACGATCTTTTAAGTAAGGACCGTCAGCACATCGCTGCAGGTGATCTTGTTTCACTTTAATAAGTGTTTTAATTAGCCTTTCATTCGTCGCAGAATTATCCTCTTAGGTAACAATCTGGCAGATGTATTTTAATGGAGGGACTTCCACAATTTAAGAGAATTCAAAGTTTATGCACGTTTATTTTTGTATTCCTAATGTAATCAGTTGAATTGGGGAAGCACATCTATTTCAGGGTAATTTCAGGGTAATTTACAAGAAATTTAAGGTCTCAGCTAGATAGCCCTTCCTTTTTCAGAGGAGATGCTGAGATTGTGTTTTGCTGATGATTACAGCCATTTGTAGCTTCAGAATACCATTGTTCTTCCCACTCTTAGTCGACTGCCCCTTTCACTATTCCTCTCCTAATAACTTCTTTAGTGGGGACTTTTTATAGTCTTTAGTCTTTAATTATTCTTGACCTGATTGAGATTAGCAAGAGAAGGGTTGGGCTATATTTAAAATATTTTCTGACTACACAAAGTTTTATTTATTTCCTAGTAATTTTGCATAGTCTGCTATCTCTTTCTTACCAAGATTGACAATATGGAGAATCAAAGTTTGTATTTAACATTGTTTCATTTTTAGTGACTTTGAGTTTTTTTCTCACTTAAAAAAAATGGAAACAGTAAAAAACTTGCAGAAAACTTGCAAGTATGGTACAAAGGACCTTTTTCTCCCTGAACCATTAAAAAGTGCTGACCTGATGCCTTCCCTATCACCCCAGGTTGTGTATTTTCTACAAACAAAGATATTCCCCTGCATAGTCAGGTGCAATCATCAAAAATCAGGAAATTTACACTGACATAGTACTTCATGTAGTTCTCAGACTGAGACAGTGTATCTCAGATTGGGACTTAAGCCCACCTGCGAGACTGGAACCCAGCAAAAACCCACCATCTGTTAACTGTGATCACACACACCTGGTTTCAGGACTTATGAAGCTCAGGTTCTTGCTGAGTCATCACAGAAAGAATTCAGTGAGAGGCAAACTGATAGATAAGTGGATTTATTTAGAGAAACACATTCCACAACCACCCTGAATATTCATTGTAAGGACTGATGCTGAAGCTCCAATACTTTGGTCACTTGATAGAAGAGGCAGTTCATTGGATAAGACCCTGATGCTGGGAAAGATTGAAGGCAAAAGGAGAATGTGGTGGC